AGACTGCCAGATGACCCCGCTCGGAGCGCCGCACACCGAGCAGCAGTGACGCGACGCTCGGCGAGGTAAGTAAGAAGACGCGCTGGCGCTGACTCGAGTATAAGCCGAGGGGGGCACTTTTCACCCAAAAAAATGGGCTGAAAATCTCGGCTTATACTCGAGTATATACGGTAAGTACTCTGTGAAAATATTTCAAATATAATCTTTTTTTTCTGTTTATTTGGATTCCATATATGTGTAAGTTTTTCAGCATCCAAACTTCTGTACATCCAGAAACAAAAGTATATATTTATTTAGACTGTATACATGTATGCATTACATAGGGTTTCTATGTTTCTACATTCATATTTCATTAGATGGGCCAAAAGACAACTATTTCATAAAGTAAATGAACCTAGCATGAACCTAGCATAGCTGTAAAATTTAATCTAAAGCCTCAAACCTAACTGAAGCCCTAATCCTAAAAAGGGATAAGTGTATAGAACTGTGTGGATAGAGATCTAAACCAGGTCAAGCTTGTTTTTATACCAGCCAATTTCACTGAGACAGCTGTTTATTAGTTTTCATTCATTCAAATCCAATGTACCAAGCATTTTGGCAAGAATCCAAGTAGGCTCTCTACTCAGCTCAAAATAATTTTTGTACCTATCAATATCTGGTGGGCTCTTCTGGAGGAGACCTTCCAAAAGTACATTAGCTATCACAACACAATACCAGTAATGGGAGTTCTGGAGGAGGTGTGGTAACATGGCGGGTTTATGTGCAATTTACCTGTGTCCCCACTTCTAACAAGCCTACTACACATTTCCCTATCAATCAATTATTGAATTTGCCAAATACATCATAGGACTGTATCATAGTTATCTTCCAGCACCCCATGCTCTAGAAGAATTTAAATCCTTTTTAAAGCTTTTAAAACAGTTGGGGCCCAAGGGTGGGCTTTCAGTATTAAAATTAATGTCCAATAATGTAGCACATACGGACTGGTATTAGAATGCCATGGAAAATTTTGTATGGTTTGTATGAAAGTCTGGTGTGACCAGGGTATAGGTCTACCTTTTTATTATATATTTGTGTTAAGATTTGTTATTGGCAACCACTATTGCAGGGACAGATTAGGCTACAGATTTAAGTACCATTAAAGCAGATTTTTATTTCCCAACTTGCATCCCCCCCACACCAAAAAGGGTCATATCAATGCAGGGAACCCATCTGATTGGCTTCTGGAGCAGTCTTGGATACTGTTTTATAGTGGCACTTGCATCTAGGTAGGGTTTTGTGTCACTGCAATATAGGATTACGTATGATAGGCTGGGCCTATTCTCTACAGTGCAACAATGTGGAAACTATGGGGATGTCCTGGGCTGTGCTGGGAATAAAACTTAACTGACTGTGCCGGCAGCTTATTCTGTCAGTTATCTGACAAAACTATGAGCTTAATAATGTTACTGAAGATATGCTATCAGGAACCAATTTGCTACTTGCATATTAGGGTAGGGGATGTTACGATGTTCTTTAAGTACGAAAATATACGTGCCTTTTGGTGCCTGCTTCACATATCTGCCAAGGTTAAGACAATTTAAAACAATCATCTGTTCACTTCAAATCAGCATATGGTTGAGGGGCCTTTTTAAAATTTTTTAAAATAAAAAGTTGTGATAGGCACAAAAACAGAGTTTTGATAAGATGCTGAATGGAAGATGTAATGTGTGCAGGCTTACAGTCAGGCATATTCTTGAAGAGTTTAATGTATACTGTTAGAAAGGGAGTGGATAGTGTGAGATTTACATAAAAGTGAGAACAAGAGATTGTAGACTGTATGATAGCTCTCAGGCAGCCCAGACTATTCTACAGTGTCTAACTATCAACCACTAAGCTGCAGTTCTTCTAAGAGATATGAATGTCATGTTGGCCGCAGGATGTTGGCGGCTGTAAACGGATGATGAAAACTGTACACAGCAGTTCTAGTACGAGCATTGTTAATAATTTATGTCCTGCTGGGCCAGACCGATGATATGTGAAGCTGCTACTGGCAATATGGAAAGGCACATCATTCATTCTCTGGTGCAGCATTTGGGACATTATTATGCATAGAACTTTACAGCTGCATTATGCACAAAAGCAGGGTTTATCTTTGACACTTACACATAACATAAGTGATACATGTATAAGAAATAAGCCCTACAGTGATATACTATAAACATGTAAAACATATTATGATGCTATAAGGACAACATTTGTTTTTATGAGATCTGAAAGAGTTTGCAAAGATTGAACAGATGAAAAGTAAAAAAGCAATGCAAAACAAGCAGGACCTACAATCTACTTTATCTGTAGTGGAAATCTGAGGCCATTGAGAGTAATTAGCTGTGTGCAATTTTCAACAGAGATTAGTAAACCTGGTCAGGTTTGGTTTCAGCCAAATTCACTGAATGCAGTGGAAAGTCCACAATTCCCCAAATCAGGGCCCAACTCCACTGAAGTCTATAGGAGGCTAAACTAGCTATATTTTCTGGCCTTTCTCAAGGCTATTGGATAATATATTTTGGGCATGGGTAGCTGGGCGCTGCCATGGGGGATATGTACCAATATAAAAAATGTTTACAAATATCTTTTAGCAGGGTGAGGGTCTGTTCATGTGGCTTAAAGAGCAACATTCACAAAATACACAAATCCTTTAAATACCATGCTTGTTTGCTTACATTATACTTCATTATGGTAGTAGGGAAACAGCGGCAGCTGGCAGGTCATCATGACTGACAATGGATTTACATAGCTTGGCAATGTAATAAAGGATAGATTTACATCATGAGACATGATTTTCAGGGGGTTTTTTTTCACAGTTTGATCGTGTTTATTTAGACTTAACCTTTTTTGGTAATGCGTAATAAGGGCTACTAATGTACCCATGTAATCATTCCCCATGGAGGAGGTGAAAAATTGGGGGTGCCTTTATTATAAAGGGGATTCCTGACTCCTAAAAGCCCCCTACAACCCCCCATACTTTTTGGGGACCAACATATGGAGAAGACATTGGAACAAGGTGCCTTGCAAAGCTTCCTACCCAAATCCGACTACACAGGTTGAAGTAGGTACAGTAAAACCAAGGAAAAGGGAGTCCACAAGTGCAATTAAGGAATTAGGTTTATTAAAGAAGCCACATACAGCAGAGAGAACGCAGAGTACCAATGTTGGAAGGGGTTTGAACTGTAATACGCACTGCCTACCATAGAGTTTAGAAACCGGAAGCCTCTACTCAATGACCATAATTTTAGAAAACATGCAAAACCCGAACTGCTGTCCTCATCAAGCAATCATATTAACTTTCTTCTTTATAAGAATAAGACTGCTTCTAAAACTAGTTGTGTGGCTTCTGTGCATGCAGTGGCTTCCATTTCCTACAGTCATGTGAAAACGTTTAACACATTATGCACTATATCGTACTATACATTGGTAGGTGTATGTGTCTGCATTATGCATGATCTCTGTTATTTTCTAAATGATAAAATATCAAACAATCAGACACACTTGAGAACTGCCATTTCTAAACTGTTTTTGGTATTGGGGTAATAGTGGTATTAGGTTTAACTAGGGAAGTATACGTGAGTAGGGAAGGTATAAACCACTAATAGGTTGTTTTATCCTGTATGTTTCCTGCTGGAGACATTTTTCTTCACGTCTTGGAAAGTGAAAGGAAATCTCCCAAAAGTGAGGGGAATTTCCTTCTTATACAGTTGTAACTAGAACATTTGTCCTCAGGGGAAGGTTTCCCCTAATGTTGTGCTCTAATTACAACTTTAACATGTAGGTTTTCCTTTCTCTATTAGTTACAATGGTAACAAGGATGAATAGAGGGGTCAGTCACCCCAGTGGGGACACCAACAGGAATATAAACATAATATTTAAATTATATCCTTTACATTTGCATGATATGTGTCTGTTTCATACAGTATGAATTATTGTCAGTTTGTTTGCCTATGCAGAAATATGTGTGGTTCTACGACTCAGACTGCATTGTTTGTATTTCACATGGCATTGCACAAATGTATTCTTTGTTTCCTACAGATTATTTTAGAGAGTGTACGTCAATGCACAAGTTACTGCCGGTGTGATAAATAAGCAGATGATAGGTGAGGTGTTTTCTGCACGCTGCCTCTCTGCTGTACTGGTAACATCAGTAACTCTGTTTGGACCACAGTGGCTCATGAATAATCCCTGCCAGCTGGCACAGCAGTGATTACTGAGCTGATGGCCCATTCATTCAGTCTGCCAGGACTGCTGACTGAGGCTCGGCCAGACTGATACCTACAGATCTAAGCTCTGCCATCCCGTTATGCACACATTGTATCTGCTTAAGGGTTGAGGCACTTGTGTTCCTATAACATCTTTATCAGCTACTAGGGCTGTCAACATATATTCATTACAAACGGATGTATACATAATCCTACTCTCAACAGTGTTTAACATGACAGAATGTTGTATTATGAAGAATCACATAATTTATTACTATAAAGGCATCACATTTTCTAAAGATTGTGCATTTCATATTATTGTGCTGAAATGCTAAATACAGAAGAGAGGACAAAAGAGCTGCAATTACATTAAGTACCTACTGTTATAAACTACAGGTCACATAGTCATTCAACTGCTACAGTATTAATATTCTGGAAGTGAAATATTTTCTGTACCTGCCATAGAACCTTTTTACTTATGACTGCTGTCGTTCTTGTTTTTGTATGGTTGTAGACAAATGTTGCCAGTATATAATATTTTATAACAGTGGGTACATATTTGTAATTTAATTGCTAGGTATAAAGCTTGTTTCATCGGGTTAATCATTTACAGAACTTATTTATAAAGAGAAGACTTCTTGCAGTGCACAAACAAGGCCATTTCTCACTGCAATGAATTGGCTGTATATATTTTAAAGGACTGAGAAACAACTGTTTCTGTAGGACTGATGTGCTTAAGTGTAAGTCAAGTGAGGTATCCTTTTGACTTATTCTGTCCTCCACTTTTAACTCACTTGTGAGGTGCTTATGATTAGCTAATGCATTGCTTGTATGTTGCTTTTAAGATGCTTTGAGATGCTTTTACATTCATATTGTCTTTTATGAGAAAGGAGAGCAATTAAGAAGCAGGTTAATGCTTGTGTATACAAGCCTATAGGATTTGAAATACTACCATGGGTAAAGTCAATAGATAGATAGGCAGGTACACAGAGAGACAGATAGATAGATAGATAGATAGATAGATAGATAGATAGATAGATAGATAGATAGATAGATAGATAGATATTTTTCAGATATAATCTTCATATAGGAGTGAATAAAGTGTAAAAAGGGTCTTCGATATGATCTGCTAAATCAGCAAATTTTAGCATTAACTATGTAGTTCAAGTGCTTACCTCAATAGACATAAACTGAATGGATTATTTAGTTAGGCAGTAACACTACATAGCTACTGGTAAATTGTATAGAAGCATTATACCTGGTTTGAGTTATATCAAGGCAATCCTGTAATGATGCTCTATTAAGTAGGATCATATGAGCAAACCAGCCTTCACTTACCTGCAGACCAATTGGACCAGGGGGACCTGGGAAACCACGAGCGCCTTCATCCCCCTTCTGCCCAAACATTCCTTGCTGACCTCTTGGTCCAGGTTCTCCATCTGATCCCTGCAGGCAATGAGTGAGAGAGGCTTTAAAATATACAACAGATGGCAAAATTGCCAAGTAAGAAAATACTGCTTCAAACACCTTTGGCTTGCATTGAACACAGATACAAAGTAACTGTAAATGTAACTGCATTAAAGTTAGCTCACTCTGTCTACAATGCATTAACCCAATTCTTCAATGTTCAATGGTTTTGAATGCAATCATATAACACCATATAACACCGCCTGAGGCTGTAGAGTGGGGGTAAGGGGGTTTCTGCT